AGAGAGAGAGAGAGAGAGAGAGAGAGAGAGAGAGAGAGAGAGAGAGAGAGAGAGAGAGAGAGAGAAACTGTTTGTATAGGTTCCTTACATCTGACGAACACATCACACAGACTGGTAAGAACATGGGAATTGGGGTTCCAAACTAACTTCCCACTGTCGGTTTCAACTTCCGATCTATTCATCAAACAGAAAGACATATAGACAGTCAAAGGCGCTTGTGTGTTGTATTTTGCACAAGGCAGGTGTTTTGTTATTCCCAAGCTCAGGTAAGCTGTGACTCGTTGGTTATGGGCATCGGCTTTTGTCATTTATGAGTCTAGAAGATAGAATGGGCCTTTGTACCTCATTCTCGAAGGTTGTGTGCTGTGTGCGCTTTTGGCTTTTGTCTGTGGTGTCATCAGGTGGATTTTGGACAGTTGATAGTGATGACGATGATGACGATGACGAGGACAATGAGGACTACGATGCTTTTGCTGATTCGAGCGATGAGTTATTGTATGGTCCAGGAGGGGCTGGGGCTGGCAGTGGATGCGGGGAAGGACCGGCCAGTGAGAAAGGTGAGCTTTTTGCTCTGCAAAAGCAATTTGTGCCTCGACAAGTGATAGCTTTCAGAGGAAATTGATGCCAAGTCTGTCCGATGTTGTTTGTCTGCATAAAAGCCTGCTGAAGGAGAAACCGTTGCCGAGAATGTAACAGGTTTGCTCCATGAAAGAAGGCAAGAGGTGAATGGTGGGAGCAGAAGAGAGAAGAGAGGGGGGGAGGGAAGAGGGGAGGGAGGGAATTCATCGTGAGGATGAGGTGGTGGAGGTGTCAAAGCATTGCTGGAGAGCAGCCTTGACTCACAGAGCATTGATAATAAAGCTTGCTGGAGGATGAAATGATGTTTTTCTCTGAGAGGGCGATTGGATCGGTGTTCTCTCGTAAGGAGGTCGGGTCAGTAAGCATTGCTGTTGGCGATACGGTAGTGAGAGGGGGATTTTGGCTGTGATGCTTGAAGCGAGCGTCTGGCTGGTGCGCTGTTGAAAGAACGTTGTTGCTAAGACTGCACCAAAGAAAAGGAGGGGATTCAGGTGGGGGGTAAGGTGGAGAGAGGTGGGATACGGTAGTGAGAGGGGGAATTTGGCTGTGATGCTTGAAGCGAGCGTCTGGCTGGTGTGCTGTTGAAAGAACGTTGTTGCTAAGACTGCACCAAAGAAAAGGAGGGGATTCAGGTGGGGGGTAAGGTGGAGAGAGGTGGGATACGGTAGTGAGAGGGGGAATTTGGCTGTGATGCTTGAAGCGAGCGTCTGGCTGGTGTGCTGTTGAAAGAACGTTGTTGCTAAGACTGCACCAAAGAAAAGGAGGGGATTCAGGTTGGGGGGGGGGGAGGGGAGGCTGATCACAAGAAGGGATAGGGCAGGGAGGGGGGGAGAGAGGGCCTGCGGAGCTGCCTCTTCTCTAAGTAGAGTGTTGCTGGCCCGGTGGGTTGAGTATTGCTTCCTTGGAATGCGAAACACACTTTCCACGAGGGGCTGATCACAAGAGAGTGTTGCTAGGCTGCCGCGTGAAAGTATATTCTTGCTTGGAGTGCACGACGCACTCTGTGAGGGGTGTGGTATTACCATTGCAGAGAATGCCAGCCCGTTTACTCCATGAGAGGAGCCGACGGCAGACTAAGGTAATGAGATGGGAGAGTGCCTGCAGAGCTGCCTCGTCTCTGGGGAGAGTGTTTGTAGCTTGGTGGGGAAGGGATGCTGGTTTTTCTAGTGCATTAGCGCACTCATACGTGGTTTGGAGAGGCAACGTGTGCGGGAGTAGGATAGCAGGTAGGTGCGAGGGGGCGAAGGAAGCATCGATGGAGCTCTGTCTCACCTCTCAAAGCGAGCATCGTAGCCATCTATCTCCTTTTCCAAGGAGAGAATTGCTCACTTGGAAGGGACACAATGCTGGCTTGCATTGTAACTGGCGCAGGGTGGAGGGCAGGGAGGCAGGGCTAGAGGAGCGCTCTGTCTCCTCTCACGGAAAGCGTCATCAGCGACTCCCGGAAGAAGCGAAGGAGGGCTCTTAAGCATTTGGATTCTCCGCGTTGGCAGTTGGCAACCTCTAAGTGTTTGGCTTGTGTGTGTGTTGGTTAAGGAAGCTTCTCTCTGGGAGTGGGAACTGCCTTCTTGGTGTTGGTATTTTGAAAGACCTCTCCATGAATTGCGTCCGGCAGCGCCCTACATTTTTCTTTGCAATTGGGAGGGCTGATTGTCCATTCTGTTGCTGGAAAAAAGGGGGTGGGAATGGGGTGAAGAATTTCAATAAGCGGGAATGCAGTTTTGCGTGTCACGTTCTGAAGGGACGCGGAGTCGCTACAGATGAAGACTTCGGAATGTACGGAAAAGTGTTGGCGGAGCGGGGGAGCTATATCTTGAGAACGAATGAGGGTCTCTTTGCCTGCGTTGGCTGTGGGGAATCCTCTGGCTTGTTTTGGTCTCTTCAGGAATGTAGCAAATCAACGGCAATGTGTTTGCACATGTTTGAGGAGCACTGTAGTATGCCCTGATCTATGTTCTTTCAACATCATGAATCTACTGCGAATAACGCCTATTGTTCACTCTGTAACGGAGAGTGTACGTACTACCAGAGGAATACCTGGGTTCGATACAGGGCAGAGGAGGAGAGGAGGGGGGGGGGGGGGGGGGGGACGGCGACGTGTAGAGTGCGGTGGAGATTGAACGTGGAAGGGTAGGGTTTGGTGAGGAATGGAATACGTGTGTGTGATGATGGAACTGGGAGACCACAGGGGTAAATGGAGCACAGACTGACTGGGTTATAGGACTGAAGGCACCGCTTATGGGATGGACATGCTGACAGCTGCTCTCCTCTCTCTCTCTTTCGAAGTCGTTCGTTTTGCCTCCATGGCTGTGCTTCCCTCTGTCTTCACACTCTGCCGCTGCTCTTTTTCCATTGGATGTATAGTTCTGAGAGGGGCCTGGCAGCGGGGTAAAGAAACTTGTACGATGTATTGCTAAGGCCAAACGAGGCAGGAGTTGTTGTCCCTAGTCCTGGCATGAGTGCTATGCGTCTATGCCACTTGTGAAACCTGCTGTAAGCTCTTCCGAGTACAGTGAGCCGAAAGGGTTCATTTGCGTCTTCTTCCCGAGAGAGAGGGGGATAGGCTGCTGCTTCCGATAAAATTGTATTTCATTGTTTTGATCATTTTGCTCCTTCCAGGCTGTTGTTGTGATAATCGAACCTTTTACAAAACCCCTTCCTTCTGAGAGAGAGAGAGAGAGAGAGAGAGAGAGAGAGAGAGAGAGAGAGGCCGCTGCTGCCGAGCACATGCATCCTGTCATTGTGATCGTCTATCCTTCAAAACATGCCATCCGCTGCTGCCGAGCACACGCATCCCGTCATTGTGATCGTCTATCCTTCAAAAACATGCCATTGTTGTGATAACCAAGCATTCGTACAATGTCCATGGCATCGTCTCAATGTCCCAATTTAGCACATTCAGCAATTCTTTTTCTCCTTTATCCTGGAGAAGTAAACTTCGACATAGGTTTTCTTGAAGAGAGCCCTGGCCCGAGCCAACTTTAATGCCCACTTTTCTCAGCCAAAGACTCAATAATAAGGTTGGGCTGTAGTGCTGCTCCATTTGGCTGAAGGTCTCCCACCCATTATGTGCTTCTGTCCGTTTTCTTTATTCCACCCGTTTATATGTGGTTCTGATTTTCCTCCTTTTATGATTTTGTAGGGTTGCAATAATTGGACTAGGAACGACGTAGGATCAGTAGGTAAATAGCATGAGAGGACTGACGTGCATCTGCCTTCTTACCGTTGTGAAAGGGGGGCCCAAGGGGGGGAGGGGGGCAGGAGGGAGGGGGATTACACGCGAAAGCAAGTGGGTCTCTTTTCAAGGCAAGTGGCACATCGGTGCCCTCATTTATTCAACGAGGCCTGCTTTTGCTTCTCTGCGCCCCTTATCCCTGCATGTTGCTCTTGGTCAGTTAGACCCCGTTGGTACAGGCTTTTTCCTGCCTTGCGCGCGCATGCAACTGCTGATTAGAATACACTAGCTACTCCACCGACTTTTTTTGTTCGCTGTGGATTGATGTTCGGTGCTGCCTTCCTAATATTGGCGGATGTCGTCTTGAAGAAACCTGCGCTTGAGATCTTCTACTGGATCCCACTACTAGTGGATCCACAGCTGACTAGTTAGCTGCAGCCCTCTGGTATCACATACTTCTAGTGGACCAAGAGTGTCTGCGGTCTTCAAGTAGATCTCTCTCCTCTTGAAGAAACCTGTGCTTCAGTTATCAGGTGGTGCATCCTCATCTCAGTTGGCCAGGGAGTTCGATTTGTCATCGCAGTGGCTGATGGCAACAGTTTGGTTCTGCTGGCGATACGTGCAGCGTCGCGATAGCTGTGTACTCCTGCTGGTGATACGTGCAGCGTCGCGAAGGCGACAGTTTGGTTCTGACGCATCGTTGTGTCGCCGGAAGCTACGTTGAAGGAAAAGAGTCTTTGAAGGCGGAGGGAGGAGGTAAGCCGACCACGTGTTCCGTTTCAACACTTGTTGGGGGAATCATGGTATGCAGTTGAAGAACATTCGGAATGCATTTCGCTCAAAAAGCCTATCTGGCATCTTTTGAAAGAAGAGGGAGAAGGGCTGTAACTACTCTGGTGGAGAAGGCATCCATTGTCCCAGGACCCGGCGGACCAAAGGTCTTTGGTCAATAAAGTTACGTGTGCCTACTGGAAAGGCAGGAGAAGCGGTGACCGGAAATGGCGATACGAATGTGTGGGCTGGCTTTTATGTGGAGGGGGGGGGTGTTTGGCTGAATATTGCAAAAAGGACGGTTGCGAAACACGCGGTTAGATATGTACGGTGAGGAAATGTGAACAAGTTAGGAACAGATGTACGCTGAGACACAAGCGAAGGGCTCTTTCATGTGGCGAGGGAGGGGGTTGCTCTGGGTGAGTTCGAGCTCAATACTATCGACCTGAGTAGCTTTCTGCTTCCTTCGATCGTCTGTGAAGTGGTGTATGTGAAGTGGTGTATGATGTGCTGTGGTGGCCAATAAAACATTTCGTAGTCTATACCAGTCTGAGGCTCGTTCCGATTATTAATCATCCTGGAACTATTCTCTCAGGAGATGTTGTGAAAACAATTATCAACTGGTAGTGTACTGCTCTCACAGAGAGAGAGAGAGAGAGAGAGAGAGAGAGAGAGAGAGAGAGAGAGAGAGAGAGAGAGAGAGAGAGATGCGAGTGTGGTAGTGGTTCGCATGAGAAGATGGTTTTGTGCATTTTGTAGCTCTTGTTTGCATGGAACACATGCCATTTCCAAACCTTTGCTGAGCCATACAAATGCTGTGAGCGGTCGCAGATAGCAGGGGAGAGGGAGGGAGGGGGCAGGGGAGAGAGAGAGAGAGAGAGAGAGAGAGAGAGAG